CCACGCTGCGGTCAGCGACGGCGCGGAACCAGGCGATGATGCCCGACTGGTTGCGGGGCGCCGGCGAAGTAGCCGGGGACGAGACAGAGGCCCCACTGGGCGCCGGCGTCGCGGGCGGCCGTCAGGTGCTCGACCGTCTCGTCGACGCCCTGGGTGGCGGTGCCGGCGATGATGGGGTAGTCGGAGAAGCCAGCCTTATCGAGGGCGGCGCGGGCGGCGGAAAGAACCTGCCCGCGTTCGGTGAGGCGCAGGTGGACGGCCTCGCCGGTTGAGCCGAGAATGACAAGGCCCTTGATGCCGGCCTGGGCGAGGTATACAGAGTGGGCAGCCTGCGTCTCGAGGTCGAGGGGAGGCGTGATGGGGTCATATGAAGCGGCGGACTTGCGGGCGAAGAAGGTGGGGACGGGGACGTAGATGCCCGGAGGCGGCGCTGCGGAGGGCATGATGGTCAAGTTCTGGTCGGATTGTCGTGGTCGTGTTAGTCAGGAGTGTAGCGCAAAGGATTGTATCCGGCCGAGAGGGTCTCGTTGTTCGTCTGGTTCGGCGGCGCAAGGTGAGAATGGGTATCGTGAGATTATTGGGAGGAAGCAACAGGACAGTAGAATGTGGAGGGGCAGCCGCGTCTTTAGAACAAGCAGAACAGAGACCCCGCGGTTGATGGGACGTTGACGCGCCGAGGTTGGGACGCCATAATGTGGTCGCAGATGATCGTGGTCGGCAGCTCGGGGCATCATGTAGCGATCGCGCGAACCGAAGTCGTGATGTCGATCCACATGGCGTCTCAGGGTTTTGCTAGTTCTACCAGTCATCTGATTGCCCGCCCTCCTGGGCCATTACGACCCTCGAGGCAAGACGATGGAGGGGCTACGTGCTGCAAGGCGCCAAAGGCGTGGTGGATCGACTTCGGGATAGGGGCTAGGGTGTGCCGAGTGAGAGCGAGGTCGAAGGGGTCAGATGATTGACCAGGCTCTATATTTCGTACCTGCCCACGCGAAGACGATATGATCCATGATGTCTAGGGCGAGTGCCATATGGTTTTTGATGTTTTGGGTCCTTTCTGCTTTTCGGCGTCAGCGCTTGTGTGAGATGATGAGAGAAGGTTACTCGACAGACCCGATTCGCGAGGAGGAGATGCCAAGACCAATCGTCAACTAGGTAATCTACCACAGATAGAGACAGAATGGGAAAGAGCCCCCCCCCCACCAGAGTCATGGCGTCATGACCCCGCCAGAAGATGTTTATCGTAAATTCATACACCCTTATCAGAGCGTATCCGAGCAGCAACGACGCGATGACCAGCTTACCTACCTACCTGGGCCAGGTAGGTACCTAGGTAGAATGAGCTTCGCAAACCCCTCAACACCACACCCAGGTATCGTGGCAATCTGACTTCTTCGCCTGGCCCAGGGTTTCCTCCGAATCCTTCTCTTCACTCCAAACATCGCCATCATGTCTGACGGAAAGCGCGCCGTAGACTCAGACAAGGGTCAGTTCTCTGCCCCTTCTGCTTCTCTCTCACCAGAGACATGTCTTCTGATGCTTGTTTCCTCCAGTCTTCACTGTCCTCATCACCAACTCGGCCTACCTCTCCGGCCTCTTCACACTGGACTACTCTCTGCGACAAGTCAAGTCCCAATACCCCCTCGTTGCGCTTTACACCGATACCCTCGACGATGCCGCCCACGCTGCCCTTGAGCGTCGCGGAATTGCAAAGCAGCGGATCGACTATCTCCTGCCCACCAAGGGCAAAGATTACTCCAACGACCCGCGCTTTTACGACTGCTGGTCCAAATTGACGCCTTTCTCCCTAACACAGTATTCCCGTGTCGTCCAGCTCGACGCCGACATGCTCGTTCGTCAGAACATTGACGACCTCATGACCCTGCCTCTTGATGCTCCCGAGATTGCCGCCCAAGGCAACACCGTCACGGCCCCAAGCACCAGAGTCTTCGCAGCCGGACACGCCTGCGTTTGCAACCCGCTCAAGAAGCCGCACTATCCCAAGGACTGGGTTCCCTCGCACTGCGCCTTCACCACCCAGCACGGCGCCCGCGCCGACGCCCAAACCGTCGCGCCGCCCCCCGACGCCAGCCCCCTCGGCTACATGAATGGCGGCCTCCAGGTCGTCAATCCGAGCAACGACATTTATGCCCAAATTGTCGCATACATGGAGACCGACGCTGCGAACATGGACTTTGCCGACCAGAGTTTGCTCAGCGACCTCTTCCGCGGCCGCTGGGTGTCGCTACCCTATGTCTACAACGCTCTCAAGACATTGCGTTGGCCTGGCGTTCACGACGCCATCTGGAGCGACGACGACGTCAAGGTTGTCCACTACATCCTCGCCCCCAAGCCCTGGGATGAGCGGGCACAGGACGGTACCTGGACGAATGCGGGCAAGCCCGAAGACCAGGAGACGCACAAGTGGTGGGGCAACGCTGACGGCGAGAGAAGGAGGCAAGAAAAAGCCAACGGCATTGACGACGGCTTCTGACAGACGTAGCCGAATTGATCTTCATGAGGACCGCTAGAAGAACGCATCGCCGCCTCGGCGCATATGCAGAAAATCCGATGCCCAGCATGCAATTTGGTGGAACCCGCAGGACACAATATCCAGTGTTGGCAGAGCGGGACGAAGTCCTGTATGATGATGAATCATGATGAACGATATCGAATGGCAACCGTTCAGAAGCGTTACATGGCATTATATTGATTCTGCAATCCGCGGCTGAAATTCTTGGGGACAAGAATCACACTCTGCCTGCAGCCGATGTTGGCCTACCAAGATTGCTGTGCACGCGCCCCCCCCTGTACAATGTCGATCCACTACTCCCTCCGATCTTGAACCTTGTCGTCCTCGCAGTTCAGACGCTGCCAGCCATTAAAGTTTAACGCGGCACGGCCGGATCAGCTTCCGACTCAGATGATATCCCTTCTTTAGAAGCAAGGCCAGAGCTAAAAATCTTGGCGGTGACCGGATGGCGGGAATGTTACCTTCATGCTTCCTCACCGGTCACCTCGCGATATGCCTCTTCGGTCCCGACCACCACAGTCTCCATCGATCATGCTACAAGGATATGGACGTGTCATAGACGCTACCTACCTGTGCACCCCTGATACCAACACGAGCGCGGAAACCGTGCACTCAGCGCGGAATGCATAACGCTGGACCCCGGCCTCGTTATCCTAATCCGCTTCAGCCGCGCCGGCATACTCTTCTTAGCATCCTGATCTGTATCACCAACACCCAGCCGCCTGTCCCGACGGCGACGACCCAGTTCCACACAGTCCCGTGAATTCCGGGCCGCAAGCCTTCAGACCCCTTCTCGCCCCTCCTTCGTGATCCTTCCCCCAACCCTCGCCGCGCCCGGTCTCACAGAGGGTCACCGTCTGTGGACCGCCACCACTGCGCCGGAGATGTTGGGCTGGGTCCGTTGTGCGTCTCTTGCCGCGTATGCATGAGCCACACACCGGGCAGGTGGCCTCTCCTTCTCCCCACGCTTCTTGGCAATCTTCATACGAGATCCCGACGCATGTGCGCGCAGGACGGGGGAATCTCTGGGACCTCCAATCGGAGAGACCGGCGCTCGTCCTGAGCCCAGAAAATCTCTCAGAACGGTATTCGCGTCGTGTCACAGTGGCAAGTGGGGTGAGTGCGTGCATCCACGGGATGATCGATATACCTTGGTATTCACTGCCTAGCAGACCTCAATGGCTGTACGCCTGCGTGTCCCCTCCTTTGTACGCCTATCATATGCCTGGTGCTGGTCACGAAAAATGCCTCTCATTCACTAAGAGATACGGCAGCAACGCCACTTTCCTTTTTGCCTGAGTGCCTGAGAAGGAGAGAAGAAGGAAATAACATGGGCACTCCTCACGCCTGTCAAGTGGTATGACTGTGTCAAGCAAATGTAGAAAAGCAAGGACCGAGAGGTGTGTGTAAAAGTAAACAAAGCCAATGGTTACATGTCTAAGAGGAACTCATGGCATGCCCGGCGCAACAGGAACATCAGGCGATTCAACCCTCCAGTGCGTGTTGAGTGACGCCAACTTGCGCTTGATGCCGTCGCCGATGCGGCTGGTGAAGCCCTCGTCAATGACACCAATGCCGTAGTTCAGAATGGCGGTTGGACTCTCAAGTCCGACAGTGCGGCCGTCTCGACGGGTTACCATGATGATGCCCTTGCCTCCGCTCCAGAGATATCTGATCAGACAGGGATCGTCCGGTGTCACTTGGTCAATGACGACGCTTGCATCCACCAAGCTGTGGTCTTTGGATGCTGTGCTTTCCTGTCGCCGCTCCTCATCCACATCTGATGACACGGGAGAGGACGAGCTATTCCGCACCTGCAGCGCTGTTTGCAACGTGGGGTTCGGCGTCGTGACAGTGCTCGCCCACAGAATCAGGGTGGCGCGATACACAGCAGCCGACCACCAGCAGGGCCGACGATCAGAGGGCATGGCGCGAATGAATCGCATTATCTGCCCGCAGTGAAAGACGGCCTCCTCTAGACTGAAGATGCAGAGCTTGTGGCGCATGGAGAGCTCCCAGAGGGTTCCATTCAGGCCCTCTCGTCGTGCCAGGCGTTCGATTTCGGGGAAACTGCTCACTCCGTTGAGCGAGATGACGTGGAACAAGACCAGGTTACAGCGGGTTGTCTCGCAGCTGGGGTTGGCCTTGTACGTTACCATAGAAATTTCGTACCACCTCTGTAAGAGGGCTTGGACCTCCTCCAGGCGTTGCATGGTGCTTGACTTTGTCACGGTCTTCGATGTGATGTGCTGACTAGTCAGCGCGTCGGGGAAGCACGAGAGCATTTGTCGTAAGTGGCAGAGTAGCGCCTGAAGGGGGTGGAGAAGGAGGCGCAATTGGTGGGGTGAAATGTTCGGATGTCGGCGTGTGAGATCATCGTGAAGGAAGCTTTGGAAGATGTCATGGAGTGAAGGGGTAAGAGAAGCAGCGGAACCTTGAGAGCCACCGTTTGTGGAGTGGCCATATATCCGCTGCACGTTGGCACACCACTGTTCTGAGCTGGAGCTCATCCAGAGAGCCTCGGGACTAGGCAAGGGGCACCGAAGGTCTGTGATCGCAAGCATGGGGGGCGTGTCATGAAACAAACTGAGCTCTTGATCCGCTATGACCCAGTTGTAAACCAGGCTGGCTTATCGTGAGCTTGATTCTGAGGGGGGAACGTTTAGGGTATCCCTACCGATTCTGGAGTTCGCGGTGCAGCCATGCCCTCCACTGCAGTTCGCTGCTCGTTGTGCTTTTTGGTACCGGAACCATCGATGGCTGGATCTCGAGCATACCAGCATGCCTGAGCATCTAGACGATGTTAAATTTGAGAGTGACCCAGCTGGGGTGTATGGGTATGCTCACAGAAAGATACATGCCCCTCTGGCCCATGGCAATGTCCATCAGCCACTTGTCGCCACTCCATGCGCCAAGGGTTGTGAAGAGTAGTGCGCAACGCAAGGCCACTGGGTCTGCCGATAGCTCGACGTCCTTCTCGATCATGTCAAACAGGGATATACGGCATGTCTCAATAAGACCCGCGGAAAGATATCTGGCCTCGGCCATCGGGACAGCAGAGGCGCCCTGTGCAATCATGAGAAGCACGAGAAGCGTCGAAGCTTGATTGTTGATGAGCATTTCGTTGGGATCAACGCAACCGGCGACTACGAGGGGGTAATAGTAAGACAGGCTGCGGACGTAGCTGCGAAGGAAGTATTCCAAGATTTTAGGAGGCGGAAGGACGATGAAGCTGAAATCATTAGGGCTCGAGCAGCCTGGGTTTTTCTTGCTGATGCCGCCGCGATGGACGTCAAGTGCCTTGTGGAGGAAGGACTGGGTGATGGCCAGCATCCTGTCGCGTGTGCGCGAGGTTATTGGAATGACGGTGGCCAAGTCGGAAGCATCCCAGTCTACCGTATCGATGTACTCCTCGAGCGGATTCCATGTGCCTTCTTCCTTGCACTTCCTCTCGAGGCACTCGAGGTGAACGATGGCTGTTCGAGGGCATGTGCTGGAGTAGATAGGCGGGTTACAACGGGCCAATGGCCAAGAATTCTCGGCAGCAACGACGACCTCAAACTCGGCAATGCTGGCTTCGCCGCTTATAGACTCCACAACAGGTTCCACGGTGGTCCTGAAAGAAGCTTCAAATTCGGCGGCCGAAATGATACTGGTACTCCGAGTGTGTGTCGAGCCTCGCGATGAAGCGGTTGTCATAGGCTCCGACGTTGAAGCAATGTCGCTGAAGTCTGCAAAGGTGGGCATCGACAAGTCTTGAGGAAGAGGACCCATCGCATTGCCGTACATGTCGAAATCCAATGAGTAATCGGGCCAGGTCATCATGTCTTGGTAGTTGGGGTTCGGGTTCATAAAGTCAGTATTGTCAATACCGTCAAGCTGCATGAACTCTTCAAGGGCTTCGGCATGTGCTGAAGGCGATGGGAAGTCGACGGAGCCACGATGAGAATGTGAAGGTGAAGATTTCTGGCCTATCATAAGCTGGTCCGTTTGCGGTACAGCGGACGTCAGGGGCTGTGGCGGCGATGCCTGTTTACTCAATGTCGGCGTGATGTCCATGAAGCTTATGGGGTGGACAGGCTGGTGCCCTTGGACGCCAGGAGGCATGAGCTGCTGCTGAAAGGTGGCGCTGGCTTGGGCAGCCCTGACGGCAGCCTTGGACGATCTTCGCGCGAATCTAGCTGCGCACGGCAAGCTTTTCTCGGCGCACCGCGAGCAAGGCACTCTTTTGTCACAACCAGTCTTCGCATTGGCACAATTTTGACAGGCGATAGGGGTACGGCCGGCTACCGTAGGAACACCTCCTGGCAAGGGCTCCATTGGATCTCTGGCTTCGTGATAAGTAGAATGATGCCTCTGGAGAAGGTCCCTGCGTGCAAAGGATAGTTGACAGGCACTGCATCGATGGGGCTTGACGTTGGTATCTAGGAGCCTGTGAGCCAGGCTTTCAAGGGGATGAGTATTCTTAGCAAAGGAGACTTACGACTGGGGATATGCCTTTCCAGATGCTCTTTTCTGGTAAAGCTCTTACCACAGTAGGCACAGAAGACCATGGTGATGGTATGTTCCGAGATACAATGGGGTACGTGCAGTGTTGATATCTCGATGACCAAGTAGCTGGTAAGGGGGAGG